GTGGGGAGCATATTGCCAAACAAATCGGATGCTTTGTTAAATCAGAATAGAGGGTGCTTGGACAGAGAGGGTGGATTATTTTTTGGAGCAGTGGCATTGAAACTATAAAATTCTACTCTTTTTCCAGTAAAAGTGCCTCTCATCAATATTAAAATCTCCTCTTGATGGTGCACTGATCAGCAGGGTAGAAATTTATCTTGTGGAACAAATTTACGATAATCCATTTCACTAACTCACGATTATAATCTGCCGATAGGCTAATATACATCTCGGCGTTATTAATTAATACCAACTAACCAACATGCGACCACCATCATAGAAATTTTAATTTATGTAAACACAAGTCGTTTGGCCGTTACCGGTTTTTAACCTTATTCCATTATAGACTCGAGCCTTTTATTTATTGGCACTTTGACGGATCGTCGGCGAAACCTTAAAGCAAATCATTTTTTTTCTAGAAATAATAATTTATTAAAAGTACCTACGAAAATTATTCTAAATCAAATTTGTTCGCGGTGTAAAACTGGCACCAGTTAAAACTCCACCCACATTTCGCATTTATATAACAAATGATCCATGCTCTAGTAGAAGATTTAATCTCTCGCTGTTATAAATTAAATTTTTAATAAAAGAAATTAAGCGCAAACACCATAGCCGGTTCGATTAGGAAAGCCACATAGCGATAATTATTAGTTATTTCTTCATTGGATGTCATTTATATTGGCCATAGTTTAAGTTAGGTACACATTAAAATTGCGAAACGTTTTAAAATTATTGATATCTCTTTTGTAATCACAATAATTTTATTTATTGACTCAATTTGGGCACCCACCCTCACATCGGTCCTATAAAGAGGGTGTTAAATGACGGCCGCAGGTCCACTTTTATAAGGGTTATGAGGGTGACTTGTGTCACAATGGGTGCGCCTGTAATAGGTCCATGGGAACACTTCTCATAGACAAATACCATATTGAATAATACAATTAATTTTGTTTGCTCTTTCATTTTTATTTATGTCTATGGGAAACGGTTTGGAAGCGTGTGAAGATCTTCAAATATATGAGGGCAAATGGTGATATTCGTTTTATTTAGGTAAGTAGGTAAATAGCATATAGCAAAAATCAGCTAGTAATATAATAATAAGTATGAGACTCAGCCAAGTATTGAATGGGAAGGTGATTACATTTATCTCACTTCAAACTCAAAATACCTACCTACTTTGGTTTGTTACAGTCGTATTAGAAACCTGGAACATTCAAGAAAATTATTATTGAATCATTGAATCAAAGTGCTTCAGCATAGTTAAATAGCATATAGAAAAGTTTACCCCGTATCCGTAAAATTAAAACGACCAACGTTTCAGGTTGCTCCTAAGTTGTCTACAGGCTACTTGTAGCCAGGAAGTAGAGGTAACAGCAGGAGCCGGTTGGAGATTGTTACCGGAAACAATAATGTTCAGAGGCGACAATACCCATCACATACACCACCCAATGACTACGAGAAAGAGAATCGCCTACTGAGCACCTAAAAACAAAATGTGTAGAAAAAACGGACGGAACTTGCATTATACTCAACCACTTAGAAGACATCTCCAAGGCACTGCACGCCGAAGTAAATAAAATGTTAAACCTTTGGGAGGTACTACACCATCTTATTTACAGCTCCAGGACAAAAAAGTCCACATCACTGTCCTTTATAGCAGAAGGACTAAATTGGTGGTGCGGCGTGGTAACCCAACAAAAATTTGACTCCATGGTAATTGACATGGATACTATAAGACGGCAGGTATCATCCATCCACGACGGCCTGGATTCGGAGGTACACATCCTAGGAAAGGAACTGGATGACATGAAAATACTCCAAGAATTAGCCGGGATAAATCTGAAAATAATTGAAAATAAAATAAAAAGTTTAGAGAATTACCTACACAGAAAGTATCAATGAAAACATCCACGACTTGAGGAAAATTGTAGGAAAGGGTTATATATGGATACAACAAAAAAACATACTCCCACTAACCAAGGCGTTGCGGATGCAGGACACAGTAAAAACATGTAGGAATCATCAAATACCAATTTCAGTAATAAAGTCCAATGATCCTAAGAAAGGACCTAGAACTCATTGTCCACTATGTTGTCATCAATCTAAACTTCTACTGATCACGGAAGCTGAGGAGGACATATTCATGCGGTAACACACCCGGAAAATGGAACAAGCATAACTTGCGTAGGACAGCAAAAAGACGTAATCCCAAATATGGTAACAACAGCAGCACTGAGGATCCACTTGCCTTGTCAATGCAATCTACAAATACAGAACGAAACATTAATACCACAGAGATTCCCGTGCAAAAATGAAAAATAAGTCTTACCTGCCGCTTGGACACACTTAAAAACCTTTGCGTTAAATCCATTAGTAACCACAAAGTTTGTGAAATTCAACAACATAAACGAATGTTTGAATCACAATTGGTCTCTGACAACACCGCATATTAACATAACATCAAGCTCTCAAATCCTACAAGAAATAACGCACCAGATGAGGGAAACTTATAAAACAACTCCACAGATAGGTACTTCATACTGAAAGCCACAGTTTAATGTTGATATGGAGCACCATATTGACCATAATGCTGCTTTACCTTAGCAGAACCAACGCGAACAGAATCCACTAGTAATTAATTTTATACCATGCCTTGTCAATGAAATTTTGTGTCCAAGTATGTATATTTTTGATTGATTAATTGGAATGTTGTGCGGACAATTTTAATCCAAAGGGCATTCAATTAAATCCGTAATTTTCATTGTATTCATTATGCATTAAAAGATGTTTGGGGTGGCTTTATAGTTTATTAGAATAAAAAATAAATAAATATCTATTGCTTCATATTAACTCTAGAAATTGCATTGAGAGTAATTTAAAGGCGTGAAAGAGTTTTCATAGAAATTTATAGCTTCCAAGGACAAAGACTTATTTGGAAGGCAGCAGTTTTGGATGATTTCTTTTCTGCTTCTTGAAACTCTGAAGACTGAAAATTAATGTTTTTAATTTCAAAGCAGTTCCCAACTTCAAGAGGACAAGCAAATTGAGAAAAACTGCTATTTAAGAAAAGCTTCTGAGGACATTTTGTTTTGGGAAAGAAGTTTTGAATGATTGAAGGCCTTTTATAGGAATTTATAGTTTTAACAAAGACTTTGAAAGAATACCATTGGATAGTGCAAATTCCAACCAAATACGGCTATACAGTGTATAGCCTGAGCTTATTGAGAAAGTAGACAACAATGAAATAAAATGCAAGCTAAGCAAACCAACTACCAGCAACTCAATCGAAATTAGGGATAAAGTTATATAAAAATAAGGATACATTATTTTAATTAGGTGAGGGTCAGGTGTATTAGGTTACGGAGAATACGTTTATACATAGCGGGTATAACTTGGAATAGGCACTTAAGGTTAATTATTATTAGATATACCTACCTAAATCATAAGAAGGTAAGAGATTTCCGTATTATAGGATCAGAATAAAACTCCAAAATTTTGTAAACTTTGCTAATCACTTTTGTATAGTAAAACAAGGCAGAAGGCGTCTCAACCTTCCAGTGGCAGCTCAAACTTCAAAGGAAAAAACTCAAAAAAGCTATACGAGCACTATTCAAAGCGCCACAACTATGGAACAAGCTACCAATCAAAGGTCCACTACGATAAACATGTTCCACTATGAGAAGCAAACCACGGGCGAAGAATCTACGACATGGGATTCACTAGCCTAGATACCACGACATGTGTGAAACAAGGCCAAGGCCAGAACATCTACAAAAGCAATTGTTTGGATCAAGACCACAACATCTACAAGACCAACCTAGGCCAATTGCTAGCCTAGATCCACAATATAGGATCCATTAACCTGTATACCACGACATGCGTGAATCACTCACCTAGATTTTTCATACCTAGATCCACAACGTAGATCCACTACCTGCAGTTAAAGTCTGGGTCAATAAGCCTAGATAACACAGCAGAAGACGTTGTCAGAATACAAAGGAGACCACTGAAGAAATCAAACCAAGCAGGAATTGTCAAAGTTTTTTATATGCAGTTAATTTTACTAATTTCCTGCCACCATCTTCTTCCTCATCTTCATTACATTCTTACTCCTCGTGCAGAAAGCACGACTTTTATAAGAAATTTTGAAAATTAAATTAACATCCAGCACCCACGAACATTCAGAGTCCAGAATTCCGCCTCCTATAGGCATATTCTGTGTTTGTGTGGCAGTCCAATTTTAATTTTTCAATGTTGATAATAAAATAATTTTTCGATCTTCACCTTTGGTAAGTTAAACTTTGACATAATTTCGAAATCGGACTCATAAGCTTCCTCTCTTCCAGTTTTGTAACCATGTTCTGTGTTGGATGCGGCTTTAGCAACCAATTTTATGCTGATAACAGCATGAACACCTACATTTTTTATGTATAACTATTAATACTTCGGCCATATCGTATATGACCATATTTCCCTCTGCCATTTGGTGGGTTTTTGATGTATACACCCCAGGCCCCCCCTTAACTCCCATATTTTGTACCTTGTAGAACTTATGCTGATGATGGATCTATGGTAGATCCGAAACATGTTCAACCCCCCTTCCAACTGGATTATATTTTTATAAAATAAAGAGTGAAGATAGACTGTGTGTTTTACTCCAGTTCTTTAACTATCTCTTCACTGTGAGACATGGACTACTATTTCAAAATATATTATATTTATCTAGAGTTATTCTTGTGTTCCCTTTCCCTTCCCGTTCTGCTTTTCAGGGTGAATAATAGTCGAGCTACATAGCAGAACAAGAGAGGCTGCGTGACAATACATATAATTAGGGGAAGTATGTACATTTCTACCTTAAATGTATGTAGGTAACTGTGTTTACTGGGTTCATTATACTCCTGAAACGATTATGTAAGATTGATATTCTCAACAACAATAGCTCATCGACAATAAGATTACTTCAGTCTCCTTCAAGTTTATTAACAAATATATTTGTTTAACAAAATATCTAATAATATTAATAATATATTTCTAATAAAAATATTCAACAATATATTATTTAGAATAGAATTTTTTCACTGGTTAAATTGCAAGTTTGGCATCTTCTGTATAGGATAAAATATTGCCACTTAATAATTAACCTAATCCTAAAGATATTTTTATAAAAAATATTATTAAATAATCAATATTTGGCATACGTAATTATTAAATAATTGCTATGAAAATAGACAAATAATTGAGCAATTAAAAGTAAAAACAACATGAAACAATAAAATATAAAGCTTATCCAAAACACATTGGCACAAAGTTACAACAAAACTGTTTTAAACTTAAATTTAAATCAATAATTACAAAAGTAGAAAATATAATTTGATCCCTAACAACAAGAAATAAACTGCATACATTTTGATCATACAGTCAAGATTTCAAAGGGCCATTATGATATTAAATATCACAGCTACATAATTTATAGTATTTTTGAAAATGCAAGAAAAGTAAGTAGCAATTACCTAATTGACTGTTAAAATAACTATGAGACAAACTATATTTATACTTGAGAATATTCAGCGATAGTTGATCCATGATGTATTACCATATAATCGTGGTAATACATCATAATGCACAAAGGTTGACCAATAATAATGGAAGCCCAAACAACGATATTGCCAAACCTTGGCCCATAACGTTTTTCCACAAAACGCGACATAAACGAAAGCGGAATTTGACCCATCATGCCCATGAAGGCCCAAATTTTGTAAGTTCTCAATGGTACACTAACCTGAAACATATTCATTCCAATTTTTTGTAAATGAAAATAAAATGTCTTACCATATATTCATGGAAAAAAGCACTAAAGAAAAACACCAAAATACTAGCAGAAGATTTACCATAGCCCATATCCACCATAGGAAGATATAAATGCCTCAAGGCCCATCTATGTACGGGTAGGTTCCAGGTGCGCCAGAATACATCAATGTTATCAGAGTTCCACCAATCGGCATAGAAATTTCTATCAGCAAAATGAAGCAACTCACCAAGAAGATTCAGCCAAGAGTGAAACAAGATGTAAAACATTATCAGCCAAGCTAAATGATTAGGGATCTGCCAATAAAAATAATAAAGAAGCAATTATCATCCAATATAGAGATACTTACAGCTAATTTTAATAATCGTTCTGTAGCAACTGTATAATCCATATTACTAAATGGTACCAAAGAATTTTTAATAGAAGGAATCATCCATTGCTGAATAACAGCCAAAATAATTTGGGTGCCAGCTAGTACTTCAAAAGTTCTTCTCAATAAGAATCTTTTCCTTATCCTTTCAGTTTTTGCAAAATTCAATTCATAACACAATGTAGGTGCCAACATAAAATAATACAAATCCTTCAAATTTAAATTATCTGGATATTGCACTAGGCCTCCATTATTATCTTCGCTGGAACTCTTTTCTCTGTCTTGTTTTTTCGGATTCACTGCAGCCCTTTGTAGATTACTTATTGAAACCGATTGTCTTCTTAAATGGCCTTTATTTTGCTGTCTTGCTGTCCTGCACCACATGTTGACTTGGATGTAGGACCAAATTTTAAGAAATAGGACGCTGTAAACTGAAGTTATTGTAGAGGCACCAATAAGGCTGAAACCATCTTTTACGTGGATGAGAACCATAGGCACCAATATCACAGATACGAGATTGACAATATGAGCAAGCATTCCAATGCTGGCAGGAACAATTTCCACTGATAGGGCTTTTTCGATAATAAGACATAGAACAACTGGTACAACATGATCTAAGATATGACACCATTAGAATAATTGTGAGAATTATATCATTATCATACTCACATAATAATAATATTAGGGTGGGGCATTCTGAGCTTTCTTCATTTATTAACATGTACACCCACTGGATTGGGTCAACTCTTATTCCGTACCTAGAAAAACAGTATTTATGTAAATCGGAAAAATTTGAAATTCTATTACAGTTAGAAACTGAAATTTTCATCAATTCTTATCCTGGTAGAGGACTACAATTCCGGAAACTTTCAACTCATTTGGGTTTGTAGTTCCAGAAATAAGATCGCGTTAAGCAATTTGGAGTGAATTTATCAATTTTCCACTTTTCTGATGACCTTTCTTAATAGATTTCGGTTTCAAGTCTCAGAATAATTTAGTGTATTAAGTTTGGATGGGGAATGATCATTTAGATACAAAATCTTAACATAAAAAAACTTGAAATTTTATCATTTTAGTATTAAGGTAGGTAACCTTATGATTTAGATTTTTGCCAGGATTTTTGTAAACTTTAAAAAATCATAAATTTTTTTCTATTAGAGATAGAAAGCTGAAATTTTCATCGATTCGTATTCCAGTAGAGGACTACAATCCCTGAAAATTTCAGCTCATTTGGACTCATAGTTCCAGAAATAAAATCGTGTTAAGCAACTTGGGATGGATTTATCAATTTTCCAATTTTCTTGACATCCTTTTTTCATTTTTTTCACAAATGTATACAAATTTAAAACAACATTATGTTAACAAAATTATTAATTATTGAAATTATATGTTATATATTGCCTCATATTGTTTAAAAACCTTGAAAACATGTTAATTACATAAGAATTAGATTAAAGATGTATGTTGTTGAAGCATAAACCAGTTTTGTTGATTTTTTGTTTCTTCCAACTCGAAATCATTTTTTGCTTGCTTATATCTATAATTGGAATTATGTAACATGATAGCATATACTTACTTTATGAAGTTTTCTAGTAAAAGTCTTAAACCACCAATAGAAAGCAGTAAAAATGCCCAATTGACAAACCCAGTAAAATTATCAAAACCGGAATTCCATGAGAAAAGAGAATCTCTGGGCCTGTGGCATCTGAAAATGTGATTAAAATTATTTTTTTCAAAAATCTACAAACAGACCAATGTAAGAATATTAACACATTTTTGAGTAGAAATCTGATATAAACAACCAGTGAACAAATCTAGAGAGCAAAGCAGAAAGATTTCTTCTCTTTCCATAACACTAAGTAGTCCGGTTTTGTATAGTCCCTGTTGAAATACTATATAGTCCTGTTGGAATACTGTTGAAGTAAAGTAGTCTTATTGAAGTACTGTATAGTCCTGCACAGTCATATTGAAGTCCTGTAGGGTACTGTTGAAGCCCTGTTAAAAAATGTGTACACCTTCTCTATGGACACCCCTTGGATAATATGGATAAGAAGAAAAGGAGATATATTGGAATACATGAAATTTCTGCGTTTTTATGTACTACATACTTTTGCCAGTTACTATTACATTCATGTTATCATCGTCCCTATACGAGTCCCTATATAAATTCATCATACTATTTTACTATACAAGTATAAAGTTCAAAAAATAATTGGGTATTATTACTCACGGTTTATCAGGCTGCCTTTTCCTGACTTTAAGCTCAACAGCATGGATTTCTTCAGCCTTGGTGGCACTCAGAGCTCTTTTTCTTACACCTTGGACTTCGCCCTCGGTCATTTTTTTACTGTAATGTAGGTACTATACCTAAAAATTTCAACTGTAATTTATATCACGTTGTGCTCATACCTACTAACGCATAAAAAACACTTCTCACACAGACTTGGAACTGATAAGAAGAAATTAATAGATAAAATGAAACTGATTTTAGCTTATCATCATCCAATAAAAGTGCATTTAATTATAATGTAATATCTTATTTTGAAAAGTTCTACTTTAGGAATATTAACAGTTCTGTTTTTTGTTGTAAATTAATAATCTAGGAAGTAGGAAGTGTCCCTGTAAAACAGGTATTTATTGGGTAAAAAAAAAGTTTAAAATTATATGATTTTGAACACAAAAAAATATTTAAATTTGACATTTCCTGACTTAAGGCTTTTTCTTTAGGGGTTTTCATTTAATACCTGCTGGAGCTGCTCCAAGCTTATCTGGACTACGATTATGCAATTTTAATTTTATGAGAGATAACCATGTTTTTTTTTGAGAATAGTACTTTAGGATATACTTGGAGCAGAAATCGATGAATAAAAATATCCGTATTTATTCTGGATCCCTTTTCGTAAGCCAGAACAGTGCGAAACCAGAGTTGTTTTTTATTGACCTAATCTGGCTACTCCGGAACAGGTTCTTAATGGCCGTACTGCTGCTCTACAGTGATGTGCCTGTAGACAATAGGTCTGTTCCCACAGGAGTCCCTGACAGTTTGCAAACTGTCGGTAAGCATCGCCCATGCATGTTTTCAATGCTGTGGTTACAAGATAAAACTGTAACTCAGCTGAGCGATTGTTTCTGACAGTTTGCAAACTGTCAGAGACTCCTGTGGGAACAGACCTCAAGTCCGACAATGTCAACGTAAACAATTGATTGTCTACGTGTAGACAATTCGAATTGTTTACGTGGGCATTTGTCTACACGTCTACATGTGACGTAAACAATAAACTTATTTTAGAAAATTTAAAAAAAAGTTCCAAAATTACTACTACCTAAGTAGCTTATACCTATCACTTTGATATTAGCATTCACTGATTATAAATATGAGGAAAACCGATAATAAAATAAAAATAATTTTCGAAAAGGAAAGTGTGAGGTTAGAATTGAACGTCATTTATATTATTTTACATTGTTGACGCGTTGTCTACATTGTCTACACGTAAAGTAGACAATGAAAGTCTACGTGTAGACGCACATCCCTGCTGCTCTAGAGAATCTTCACTTGAACTAATAGAGAGTACGTAGAAACAAATTACATCAGAAGCTTTGAATATAAAACCACAGGAAGGAGCGTTTTCTATCTGTCACTACAGACAACGCAGAGACGGAAACGGCCATATTGAGCCTCCAAGTATTAGGCGATTTTCAGCCTGGAATGATTATTATTTGGTTATAACCAATGCATTTCCGCCGTCGCGGTTTTAACCAAAGTAGGGGAAGTTGTGATGTCACATATCAGCTGATTTGCTTTTGGTATTTACCACTTATAACCGATTATAACCCACCTTTGGACTTGGGTTAATCTTTTGGTTACAGCTTTTTGATGTTATTGTTATTATTTTGGGAATTGGTATTGGTGTTTTGTGATTTTGCAGTTGTGTTGTGGCCTGGCACAATGGAAGAAGTATACGCTCACTCACTCACTGCAATTCACCATGTTTAGATCGAGGTTTAGATCATCCCCAAAGAAAATCTGTTCGATAAACGAGACTAACGAGAGATTCCGCTCCATTTTTTGTACCTAAACAACAAACCATTGTTGAAACGAAAAAACAAATAGGAATAATAAACATAATCCTACACTGCTATAACCAAATCATTTCAGCGATCAGTTCCTTGGGTTATGATTCTTGAGTGGTGGGGGGCTGTGACGTCACACTTGGCTGTCAAAGTTGTCAACAAAAAGAATAACCACGGTCACAGCCACGGTATTTACCGATAAATAATCATTCCAGGCTGAAAATCGCCTATTATCATTTGTTTTGGTGATTGGTGGTTCGCTGTGTCCTCATTCAAAACTGGTTTTGGCTATACAGCACGGAGTTGGAGTGGAGTAAAAACAGATTTTTGTCACGTGATCTAGGAGTGATTAGAGTGAAAAATTAATAGGCCTATTCGGGTTTGGAAAAAGGACGGTTCTAGAACGGTTCAAAACAATCGTCCCAGTTTATTGATCAACAAAATAACAACGACTCGACTATCACAAATTTCAATAATAAACTGTGCGATTCTTCTGGACCGTTCTAGAACCGTACTTTTTCCAAACCCGAATAGGCCTAATATTTACACGAACGACCGGAACAGTCGGAGCAAACATGTCAAACAGCTGATTTGTTTTGTTTCAAAACACAGTCATCCGCTTCTGTCTTTGGTCTTTCGTGTACAGCAATGAACTATAGCCATAAACTGGAATACGCACACATTGTCATATCTGCCAAAAAAATGAAGCCATGCATGGAAGACAGATGCCACAAAGGGGAATGTTGTTTTTTTCTGTTGCTCGCTGATATATTATTCGCCATTTAACATAATGAGTGCGACAAAAACAGGTATCCCCTCCGCAACAGCTGCACAAGCCAAGTACTCATAACTGCGAAATTCGCATTTTTTTGACATTGCGTTGACAATTTGACGTTTTATGCGTGTATCAAACGTCAAATTGTCAACTCAATGTCAAAAAAATGCGAATTTCGCAGTTATGAGTACTAGGCTTATGGCTTCACGTTCGTCAATAGTTGTATTCCTTTCACACCTAGGAGGAGCTTCGGAACGGCTCCGGGGCTTCACGCGCTAATTCCTTTCGAAAAGTGTTTGTTGCACCACGCATTTGTTCCCTGCAAATCGGGGGCGACTGAACACCGGAGCGAGTAGCTCGAGTGCTTCAAGCTCTTTAAAGGAATACAACTATTATGTGTTCGCATTCCAGTCTTTGGTTATAGTTCATTGGTTATTGGTTATAAATGTCACCCCCCTCTATCTTTTTTATTTGACATTTTAGAAAAAAGTGTCTCAAATAAAAGTTTTATGGTTGAAATTAATTTTTTTGAAAAACTCACTTTCGCGTATACAGGGTGTTTCAGAAAAGCTAATCGTGCTCCAACTTTCTTATTTTAAATAGAATACCCTGTATATTATTGAATATTCGGATTCTACATAAAATTCTGAACAGATATAATGTGATATACCCTAAAACTAAGTTCAACTGTTTTGGAAATATTAACAGTTGAAAATTGGCTTTTTTTCAACTTTGACAGGCTGTAAAACCTAAACGGTTAATTTTAGAGCAAAACCGATCTTACATTTTTATCTTAGATTTTCATAAACTATCAGTTGACACTGATATTTGACATACCAACTTCGAATTTAATCCATGATTAAAAATTCCGATTAAATTTAATCTCCGGTTAAATTCAAAGTTGGTGTCAAATCATAGCTTATGAAAATCTTAGAAAAAAATGTAAGATCGGTTTTGCTCTAAAATTAACCGTTTAGGTTTTACAGCCTGTCAAAGTTGCAAAAAAGTCAATTTTCAACTGTCAATATTTCCAAAACAGTTGAACTTAGGTATAGGGTATATCAAATGAAATCTGCTCAGAATTCTATGTAGAATCCGAATATCCAATAATATACAGGGTGTTCTATTTAAAATGAGAAAGTTGGAGCATGACCAGCTTTTCTGAAACACCCTGTATATGCAAAAGTGAGTTTTTCAAAAAATTTAATTTCAACCATAAAACTTTTATTTGGGACACTTTTTTCTAAGATGTCAAATAAAAAAGATAGAGGGGGGTGACATTTATAACCAATAACCCTGTACTTCCCGCATCTACACATAAACGATTTCAATTTTTTTTAACAACAACCACAACGTGACAACATAACAAGGTTGACAGTTTCCACCAATGACATTCCACATTTCACTTCTGCGCATGCTTACTCTAATAAATTCTCTTTCCGGGGTGGGTCACCCCTAATACGCTAAAAAGCAATACCCGAACGGCTGAAGTGCGAATGGAGTCACTCGGAGTGCATGGAGCAATGAACTATAGTCAAAAACTGGAATGCGCACACATTGCCATATCTGCCAAAAAAATGTAGCCATGAAAGACAGATGCCACAAAGGGGAATGTTGTTGGTCGGGGATTCTAAAATCACGATTCGACATACGATTCGACAACGAGACGATTTTTCCGACGATTCTAGGTTAGAAATCTCATTGGAATTATACCTTTCGACACGACAAGGCCGGTATCGTTGTCGAGTCGTGTGTCATCGAATCGTGATTTTAGAATCTCGGCCTTGTTTCTTTCTGTTGCTCGCTGACCTATGACGTTTTGGAAAGTTTTGTCATATTTACCTTCACAGGTTTCATCAATTGGAATACGTGTTGGAAGCAATTTCCGCCATTTAACATAATGAGTGCGACAAAAACAGGTATCCCCTCCGCAGCAGCGGCACTAGGCTTCACGTTCGTCAATATGTGTTCGCATTCCAGTTTTTGGTTATAGTTCATTGGCATGGAGTGAGCAAGCCGAACCCACCTTTAAATGGATGTTTAATGGATTTTAGCGGTTTCAAGTGATAAGAGTGAGTCATAATATTGACTATTTTAGCTAGGTTTGGCTATTCAGCGCGGAATTGGAGTGGAGTAGATCTAATGGAGTTACCCCTAATACCGTAAGAGCTGTTTTACACGGCAAAGTTTTTTCACGAAATTATTCACGAAATATTTCGTAAGTTTACTATTCTTGGTTTCGGTTTTTCCTGTTTGACACGGCAGATAAAATTTAGCAAAAGTTTCGCGAAAATATTAGTCATACGCAGGCGCAGTAACGTTTTGCCAACAATAATATCAAAACATAACCTCATACTTTCGTATATTGGTAAACCAAAACAAATAAAACTTGCGTTTTCTAATTGTTGTTGAATTTTTTTACTCTTCTGCAGTTTCATAAAGTGTAATTTCTGCTTTCCTTCCATAAATAAAGTTTTGTTTACTTTTGGGTTGCTGGTCCTCTCCCTCCAACCCTATGTTTTTGGGGGCAACACTTTTTTCCACCGATTGACCCACCAATAAGCAGTCTATCTTTATCTATTACATAAGAAATCCAATGACGGATTCATGAGGCTCGAAGGAAAAGAATGCGCCTTTCATTTTGTAATTGTGTGCGCCGAAACTCGCGCATTTTCTCGGCCGCGCCTACAAAAACTATAGAACATTTTCGTAAGTTTTTCTTGTCGTGTAAAACAGGACAAGTTGACTTACAAAATATTTCGGCAACAATTTCGTAAGTAATTTCGTAAAGAAACTTTGCCGTGTAAAACGGCTCTAAAAAGCAATACCCGAACTTTAACCCGAACGGCTGGAGTGCGAATGGAGTCACTCGGAGTGCACAGAGTGAGCAAACCGAACCCACCACTTATTTAAATAGATATACGCCACTGCCAAACCGGAAGCACTAGTCGGCCATATGCAACCTCCACATATTCTGAGTTACTTTCGGTGCCACGATTCTTGGGGTGCCACCCTTTGAGCGCTCCCGAGTTACTCCGAAGTATTCCGGCTAAAGTTAGACTAGTTCGGTTTCAAGCGTTCGAGTGCAAAACGCATGGATTCGCAGATTCGAGGTTATGCTCCTTCCTGTAGTTTTATTCAAGGGACAGAAGTCAATACGAGGTGCGTACGATAAGTCCAACTACTGACACTTTTTACCCTGACCCGTCATTAATATCGCACTTTTTACACCATTCGTACAGTTTAGCGTTCAATATTGCCGGTGGTTTCCAAAGGTTGCGTTCCAAAACATATTCAGACAAATTATCATACGCATCTACGATAGTGGTTCTAGTGCAGAAAGGTTCGAGAGCGTCACACTCCAGAGTACTCTACTCTACAAATTTGGACACTGTTATAAATCAGTTGATATTTTGAGGTTATGTGTGTGATGGTTGTGGATGGTTGTTTTATTTTGATTTTAATTTTCAATTTTAAAAAGTTTGATATATTTATATAAACAACCCACAAATTATTACTTATTCACTCTAGGCCAAGATCATAGATAACTCAAATCAGCTCTAAAATAATCAAATTTTCACATACCTAATTCAGGCACAATGAGAAATCTTTTGACCAGAATCACCAGTTTACCATCAGCCGTTCAAATAAGGTACTAATATGATAGAATTTTTCCTCGTTATATTTAATTATGTTATCGTTCCTTGGCCCTTTTGTGCTCTATGGGGTGGGTGCTCTCCAGAGGAGCCCAGTTTTTTTAAATGCATGTGAATTTTTCAATTTTCCTGAAATCCTTTTTTGAACATTATGAAAAATCCAGTGAAAAATCATAACTTTTTTTTCTATTAGAGCTAGAGAGCTGAAATTGTCAGCGTAGAGAACTACAATCCTTGAAAATTTCAGCTCATTTGGACTTAAAGTTTCAGAAATAAAATTGTTTTAATCACTGCCCACTGTGAAGTTTCCTCACAAAAGTTATCAGTGGCGTCGGTAATGGATTTTTTTTTTGAATAATTGTCATCTGATTATACAGGGTGAGTTACTGAGCGCGGTGATCCATATCTCCTATACTAAGGGCGATCCGAGGGGTCAACCACTTCCCAAAATATGTGTACACTTGGCCCAAATTACCTCCGAAATACTTGGAAGTACCTAAAAATACTGTGAAGTACCTTGAAGTACCAGGTATTCCCGTCGGAGTACGCGAAATCCAATGGAATTACTGTTGAAGTACCCAAAATACCCTCGAATTACCGCGCGAAGTCCCGCAATACTACTAAAAAAATTCTCGTCCATTTTATAACGATTCTTCTTGTGGATCTCAGTGAAGAATTTTTGCTCGGATTTTTGTGTCTTTTGATATAATGGATTATATTCGAGCACACAAACAGCAATCAAATCAATAATTACAGGTGACTGTTAGTTCTACAATGCTGTTAGGTACAGATTAGGTCATCCAACGACTAGTTCAAGGAGGACTGAACAGGGGCAATTTTTGACTTCCCTGTTTTTTTTGAGAAAATTCAAATATGTAGCCAATTGGAATATTTTTTCTGGAGAATTCAAAAATGGTACCAAAAAATCGTTTGAATCAAAAACCAAAGAGTTATGCCATGGTTTCACTGTTTCTTAAATAGAACGCCGTTTTTTGTGTGATTTTTGAAAAAGTCTTAATTTTTTACGTCTATCCTGTTGAACATATTTGATATCCGATAGCTGTTTTTATTTTATTTTAATGTTTTATGCTAAATGATTTTAGCTATACATGTTGGATTTAATTGGTTCATAGTAGGTGCTAAAGGTATATAATCTTTGCTCGAATCTTTGTATTTTGTTACTTCGAAGTACTCGGCAATATCACAAAAAACCACCACCGAAATACTTCGAATTTTGCGAAATACTTCCGAAATACAGACATTTTCGCAATACATGTACACATTTTTACAGAGTGGTTGACCCCTCGGGGAGATCGAAGAAAAAACTAAATACAAAACTTTCAGATAAATATGAGTAGGTGCTCAAATTATTTTCCAGTATACAGGATGGCCCAATAAGTAGTGGTGACACAAAGCTATGTTTTTTTAAATGTCTACCCTGTATATTATGACATTTCTGGATTCTGCGGAAAATTCTAGACATATTTCATGTATAATGTCATATACCTATCTTCAACTGTTTCGGAAATATTGACAGTTGAAAATTGACTTTTTTGCATCTTTGACAGACTGTAAAGCCTGAACGGTTAATTTTACAGCAAAACCGATCATACATTCTTATCTTAGTTTTTCATACCTAAACTATCATTTGACACCAACTTTGAATTTAATCCATGATTAAAAATTCCTTAATTAATCTCCGGTTAAATTCAAAGTTGGTGTCAAATGATAGCTTATGAAAATCTAAGATAAGAATGTAAAATGTAAAATTAACCGTTTAGGTTTTACAGCCTGTCAAAGTTGCAAAAAGTCAATTTTCAACTGTCAATATAACCGAAACAGTTGAAGATAGGTATGTATAAGACAATGTACATGAAATATGTCTAGAATTTTCCACAGAATCCAGAAATGTCATAATATACAGGGGAGGTCATTTAAAAAAAAGCATAACTTTGTATCACCACTACTTATTGGGCCACCCTGTATACCGGAAAATAATTTAGGAATGTAGTACTCATATCTACAAGTTTTGTATTTAGTTTTTTCTCTGATCTCCGTTAGTATAGGAGGTATGGACCACCGCGCGCTTAATAGCTCACCCTGTATAATTTTGTATATTTTCGTATAAATCTCCATTTGTAGGTCAATCGAGTTTACGCCACTGGTGTCACCCTGTTTCTGGCAACCCTCTTCACCTTCCCCATTAGAATGAATTTAATCTCATATACAGTTTGTGAATAATTGTCATCTGATTATTTAATTTTGTATATTTTCCTATAAATCTGCATTCGTCAGTCGATCAAGTGTACGTCACTGGTGTCGCCTAATTTCTTACCCCCCTTAACCTTCCCCGTTAGTATGAATTTGATCCCATGTACAATTTTTGAATCCAAATAATATTGAATGAATAAATGCATGTGTAATAAAATAGTTATTTATATTACTAGTACAGTATGAACTTCATTACAGTAACGAGTGGGAAATATTGCCACGACGAGGTCGTAGACCGAGTGTTGTAATGAGCCTCACCGTACGTGTGATATACAACATTTTATCTACGACCTGCACAATAAGTGACTATTGTCGTTTATCTATTATAAATAACCCGGTTGGTTTTTTCGAGAAAGGTTGGATTTAGATCAAAAATAAACGGCATAGAAGAAGAAAATGTGTATTTGCCTATCTTTTCCAACGCTGTTTATGTTTGACCTAAATCCAACCTTCCTCAAAAAAAAACAAATGAAATATCTACTAAGGTCACTAACTCACAGGGCTCATTATACATAACGCAAATGAGCAAAAATTAGTGACAATAGTTACTTATTGTGCAGGTCGTGGATAAAATCCATTATCACCGCCACTGATTGTTCGGGTATCTTCTGAATTTTGTTAGATACCTCCTTTTGTCAGGAGAATTCACAGTGATATCGCGTTAACTAATTTTGGGTGAATTTATGAATTTTTCAATTTTTCTGACGTCCTTTTTTCATAGATTTCGGCATCAGAATAATTTCGTGTTATGGAGTTGGATTCGCTTAAGAGCCTTGAGTTGCAACCAGCAGCCGAACTGACATTTTCGTATGATTTTATATGGACATTTCAGTTCAACCGCTGGTTGAAACTCAATCTTTGGTTCACCAGCTTTCTAATACCGGCCCTAAGTACCTACTATTACAAATAATAGACATCCTACTCACAATTATTACCCTTTATAAAGTTACTTATAGGAGTCTTATTTTTGAAACTGGGGAGCAACGTTCAAACGAGAAAAGATGTCCTGTCTTTGTCTGTTCTATTTGTATTTGCATAACATCGACAAAGATAGAGCAATCGATATCATAGAAACCCTGTTCCCCGCTTTCGAGAATAGACAAGTAAAATACTCACAAATTGGCAACAGTGTAACCCTGTCGAAAATGAAAAATATTCAAGAACTAGGAAACAAATTCAAAAAATCTTTTGCTTAGAAAAAAAAAGGCGGAGCTTATAATACTCATTCATAACAAAGAATTTGATTGGCAGAATAACTGGGAATTTTTTTCCGTTAATTTGTCATTGGTCGAAATGGGATGATAAGAAACAAGAAACAATTTTTTGTTTAGAAAAAAAAAGGGGGCAGAGCTTATAATGATAACAAAGAATTTTATTGGCCGAATAATTTTGGGATTTTTTCTGGTAATATGTCATTGGTTGATTGTGATTATTGGGAACACGCGATTTTCGACTATATGCAACGATAAGGGCAATTTAATCAATATGGCGGCCTATGTCAAGCAATGAAAATACCACCATAAGGATTTCATTTACCTTCATTACCTTAGGTAAATTTTGTCTCAAATTCTTTTATAGATAGAAAGCTGACATTTTCAGCGATTCTTATTTCAGTAAAGAACTACAATCCCTAAAAATTACAACTCATTTGGACTTTTAGTCCCAGAGATAAAAACGTGGTAAACAACCACAACTACAACTACTTGTACCTATTCTGACTTAAAACTAGTTACCTTATTAAAATTAAAAATTATTTTCTCTCAATTCAGGCTGGTTTCATCAGTAACCACAGTCGATGCCAAAGAAATCGAATTTTTCCAACAAACATCAGACTGGTGGGACAAGTCTGGTTCAATGCGACCTCTGCACTCGATGAACAAATTGAGAATTCCTTTAATTAGAGATGGTTTAATAAATCAAGGAACTGCTTTAAAAGAAAATCTTGAAACAGCTACTCCTTTAAAAGGATTATCTGTATTAGATATTGGATGTGGTGGTAAGATTTAAAAACCATTAAACTATTTTTTTGAAATTGAATTTTAATAGGTGGCATATTATCTGAGCCTCTTGCCCGGCTAGGAGCCCAGGTAACAGGCATTGACGCAAATCCCAATATTATTGAAGTGGCAAAGAAACATGCTGAATCTAATCATCTTGCAATCAATTATCTATACACTTCCATAGAAGATTTTTGTAAAGATAATCAAGAAAAATACCATGCTATTGCTGCATCAGAGATTCTTGGTAAATATTGAATTTTTTTTTAATAAATGAATTATTTTTGTATTCATAGAACATGTAACGGAAAAAGAGGCTTTCATTAGAGCATGTGTCACTTGCCTGAAACCATCAGGCTCTATTTTTATTACAACATTGAACAAGACAATGTTCACAAACATTTTGGGGATTTATGTAGCTGAAAATGTTTTAAAGTTGGTGCCTAGGGGAACTCATCAGTTTGAAAAATGTATTAAAACACATCATTTACAAAGGCTATTAGAGGATAGTAAGTAGTGTGTTTTAACATAAGAAAAAAATATTCTGTATTAATTTTTTTTTAGATAATATTCAAACTAAATTAATTCATGGGTTGTTTTATAATATATGCACAAACAATTGGAGTTGGTGCTCGGATCAATCAATCAATTATTGCATACATGCTATAAAATGTTAATTAAATATTAGCTTTTTGGAAGGTTAACTTGTTAATAAATTAAATTAAATAGAAGCGTTTCCATGTATTTTAATAATTAATTAAGTATACCTTTTCTTATTTCTGTATATCTTCTTTGCATTGTGTGCCATTTCAATACAAAAAGACAAATATGAAACTTTGCAGAAGATTTCCAATGAAGTTGCAACAAAAGTAAGTTATTTTGCATTATTTCACATCAATTTCAATTTAAGTTTTAGGATGTTCTCTTCAAAAACTACTATTGACCCTCAGGAAATAGCCTTGTTTGAAAAACTAACTGCTAATTGGTGGGATTCTCAGGGTCCGCTAAAGCCCCTACATGCAATGAACACATTACGAGTGCCTTTAGTAAGAAATGGTTTGATTAATCAAGGAGTTGTATCAAAAGAGAATATTTATAGTTGCACACCGCTTAAAGGGCTGTCCATATTAGATGTTGGCTGTGGAGGTAAGAAAATGCTTCTATTTGTAATAAAGCCCTATTAAATTCAATTTTTTTTTTCTAGGTGGCATTCTGTCAGAAGCTCTAGCACGTTTAGGCGCCCAAGTTACAGGCATTGATGCAAATCCTAGTGCAATAGATCTGGCAAAACATCATGCTCTTAAAAATAATCTTTCCATTAATTATCTTTTTACTTCTATTGAAGAGCATGCTATGGAAAATATCGAGAAATATGATGCTATAACTGCTTCTGAGGTGATTGGTAAGGCATTGTCTAGTGATTACAAAAACGTTTGTTGCTCAGATTTTTTTAGAGCACGTGACAAATAAGGAACCATTTCTAGATGCTTGTGTAGAATGTCTAAAACCTTCTGGCTCTATGTTTATGACTACAATGAACAAAACTATTTTTACAGAAGTTTTTGCAATTTATGCAGCTGAAAATATTTTTGATTTGATTCCCAAAGGTACCCATCAAATTGAGAAATGTATTGAACCTGAGCAATTACAAAGAATATTAGAAAAAAGTATGTAATTAATTATAACATCATTTACAGTTTGAACTTATTTTTATTTTTTGTAGATTATTTGCAAACTAAAGAAATAAGAGGCATGTTTTACAATTTTCTCACAAATGAATGGTGCTGGTGCTTGCCAACTTGGATCAGTTATTCCTTGCATGCTGTTAAACCTAAAGAAAGTAATGCTGCATATGAATGTATTGTGTAAATTGAAGCAAATGTGCTTGTAGCTGTTCTGAAATAATACAAATTTTTGCTCAAATAATTATTTTAAGAGTTCTAAATATAAATCTATTTTTTGATAATTATATTAATTTAGAAAAATTTCGAAAAACAGTTTAATGGGAAATTGAAATTGTGATACATTGTAATTCATATTTTTAATGAGAATAATAGCTTAAATTCAATAGATGCAATTAAATGTGGGTAATTACCTTATTAGATTAAATTACCTCAAGGTCAAGGCTTTTTATAATCCGCGAGTTCGTTTTTGTCATCTTTTTCGTCGATTTGCTCCGAAATTTTGACAGGCACGTGATTCAATAAGACAGTTTCAAGCTAAAATCACGTGCCTGTCAAAATTTCGGAGGAAATCGACGAAAAAGATGACAAAAACGAACTCGGCCAATGTTTAAATATTAGGTATCCTTTTTAGGACACTAAAAGTGATCTTGACAGCATAGATGAATATGCAATTTTTCAGAAGATTCCCATTAAACTTTCAACAAACGTAAGTATCATTTGAGCCCAACTGTTTAATTTTCACGTGAGTTTTAGGAGGGCGTTTTCTTCAAAAACAGCTCATAAAGTAGCCCAATTGGGAGAGCTAATAGATGATTGGTGGAATCCTCAGGGTCCGGCAAGGCCCCTACATGCAATGAACAATATAAGAGTACCTTTAGTGAAGAATGGGTTGATTAATCAAGGAGCTGTATCAAAAGAGAATATCAATAGCTTCACACCGCTTCGAGGGTTGTCTATATTAGATGTTGGTTGTGGCGGTAAGAAAATCAATTTCTAAAGAAGTCTTTATTAGAATTCAACTTTCCCTAGCTGGTATTCTGTCAGAGGCTTTAGCACTTCTAGGAGCCAAAGTTACAGGCATTGATGCAGATCCCAAAGTCATAGAGCTTGCAAAATTTCATGCCCAAGAAAATAATCTCTCCATTGATTATCGTTTAAGCTCCATTGAAGAGCATGCTATGAAAAATTTGGAAAAGTTTGATGCTGTAGTTGCTTCTGAAGTTATTGGTGAGATATCTGGAACTAAAAAAAAAAATATTACTACTCAGATTTTTTAGAGCATGTGACAGATAAAGTGCCATTTATAGATGCTTGTGAAAAATCTCTAAAACCGTCTGGCTCCATATTTCTGACTACATTGAGCAAAACTATATTTACAGAAATTATTGCAATTCATTTGGCTGAAAATATTTTCAATTTGCTTCCCAAAGGCACCCATCAGATCGAGGATTGCATCGAACCTGAGCAATTGCAAAAATTATTAGAAAACAGTAATTTTGTGCTTTATTCATTTACAGATGAATTTACTATTTTTCTTTGCAGAGCATTTTCAAACTAAAGAAATAAGAGGCATGTTTTATAATGCTTTTACAAATCAATGGAGCTGGTGCCTTCCGACTTCGATATTTTATTCTTTGCACGCTGTTAAACCTAAAAGAAGTATTATGTAGGATTTTTTTGTCCTTAATTTCACTCATTTAACACTATTCTGAGTGCATTATTATAACTATTCAATTCACATAATTATATAAACAAAAATTTAATGAAACATGTTCATATTTTACTTGAAATGAACTTATTAAAACTTTTAATACTCGTTCTTACCTTTGTTGAAAATCCTTGAGAGAAATTTTACTTGATAAAATTCAAAAAATGTGGTAATAATTTTGCTGGTATTGAATAGCTAGGTACATTGGTAGGTTCATAATAAGTTCAATTATTAGAAAAAAGAAACAAGGCACAATGAGTAAAGTGGGTACTTTTCCCTATTATATAAAAAATTAATACCCCAACCACCAATTTTAGTCGCCGCAACCAACGTATCCTCAACTACAGAGAGAACTTTAAAGTTGGTGTTACTAGTATCGGGAACCGTTTAGGCACCGTTTCTTCACCACGTTGTTACCAAAATGGGGAATGATTTTGCAGTAACGTTTACGTGCCTGCATCGTCCTTGGAACTGTAAATTTACGTCCCGGGACCGTTTCGGGAACGTTGCGAAACCGTAAATGTGTGGTACTACCAACCAAAATGGGACTTTTTCCTATGCGTCTTCAACCTTGAAGATCTTTATTTGATCTTTCTTTCTCTTTCAACTAAAATTATGTATATGATGTTACCGTTCGCATCAAAACATTCTGCCACCCAATATAGCCATAGCTCGGAAACCTGACCAATCAAATTCGATGTGGCTATTTTGTTTGGCATAATGTTACTAGATGCGCTGCATCAGGGGTCAGAATGTCGGGACGATGATGGAGCTACTTAAAGGGTCAGAATGTTATTGCATGGGCTAGATTCAGAGTCAGAATGTTACAGACGATAGAGCATTAGTATTAAATTTAACAAAAAAATTATGTTTAAAAATCTATAAATGTCTTTTGTACGTGTTATACAATTCAGAAATTTAGATGTTCTTAGTGTTCTCTATGGATTTTTTTCATGAATATATTGATTAAATTGTTAGTTTTTTGATTAAAACCGAGGAATTAAGAAATACATATATCCATTTTGGATATACCTAAGGGGTTACTAAATTTAGATTTAGCAAAATCTGAATACCTAATAATTAAAAATTTAACTTCTATATTTTTCAAAGACTACATGTTTTTGTACAATTTACTTCTCCTTTTTAATTTTCTGAATGAGCTTGTATTTAGGTATAGTTACTCCTTAATTGTTACTAAAATATGAAGATATCACGTAATCAGTAAAAACGTTAAACAATGATTTAGTGCAGGATGATGTACTCTCAACAAATACAATATCTTTGGAGAATGGCAAATTATGTGCTCTTTGCATTATTTTGGGTAGTTTTATCGCATTCATCTCCATCATCAATAAATATTAAAATGTCTTCGCATAAATTTCAATAGGGCAATGAGCGGAAAATAAACAAAACATGGGGCACTTCTAACGGACCAGTGCAAGAGGCCGTTCCGACATTCTGACCCCTGATCTAGCCCATGTAGTAACATTATGACACTCAAAATAGCCACATCGAATTTGATTGGTCAGATTTCCGGGATATGGCTAGATTGGGCGGCAGAATGTTTTGATGCTTACCGTTCATCCAGCCAGTACTTCAACTTCACAATAATGTCCACCTAAATTTTGTTTACTTGATCATTATTACGTACCTAAATGAATATTGAAAGGCTTTGATTTTCGTACCCAAGCAGCTAAAACCCAAACGCGTGAAATTTTTCTGTGAAAATTAAGTATGCTTGTTCTGAAAATAACAACGCGCCCTCAAATTAAAGCATTTTGATGATAAAAATATTTAAAATAGAAGAAATACTAAAATAACAAAATTATTTATTCGAAGGAGTTAGCACTTTTAATAGGTCCATTTTAATTAGAAATCATAAAAGTCCAAGGTTTTTATTAGTAAACAAATAATATAAGGCATGAATTTTCTACTTTTACACAAAATTAAGTTTCTTCAAAAAATGGCGTCTTAAATTTTTTATAAAACATGGCGTATTTTATTCAATGCTACGTTGAAGTTACCTCTAGATTTGTTAAAGTAGAATTTACCTATACATAAGTGGCACTCACGAATCGGTTATCTTACAATGTTACTTGGAAGTGGCGAACTCTAAAGTGTTTTCTATTGTCCCTCTGCGGTTGTGGTTACCTTCAAAAACACTTATAATAGTCACGCCTACTCGAAAGTTGAATTTTTCACGTTACAGTGACAATTATTTGTTACTTCAAAATTTTGGTATCGAATAAGTAGCTAAACCTTGACGCCCCATGGTTCCAGCAACCCTGAAACTTACCACAATGTAATGCCACCATATAGTCACCAAATTGGGTAAGTGTTACGGAAATTCCACTGATTCTTCTGACTTACTAGAGGTTTAAACTTCATAGTAAGTTATTTGGTACCAATTACTATTTTTTTACCCAATCATAGTAGCAGCGTCGATCAGTGAGGGTTTCTATAACTTTGATGCTAGTTGGGACATTACTCACAGTTATCACTTTTTTTTGGAAACTACAAACTAAAGAAATAAGATGTTTTACAATTTTCTGACAAATGATTGAACTCAAAAAAAAAGCAATTTGTGTGTACAGACCCAACGGCCAACATGGGCTCCGCTAAAAATCTCAAAATTAACAAGTTTAAAGCTGTCATTTTTTGTTGAGTTAAATATCGTTCTGTGAGTGAGAGTGCGGTCTACGAACCATATTCGAGTAAACTTGAAAAAACTTTTGAAATATCCATTCTCATTGAAATAGAATTGACAATATTTTAGTTCAGGCATCTTTTTAAATTTTTTGATGGTGAGCTTATCTCTTTGGGTTCCCAGTTAATATAAACAAAAATATTTAATTTAAATTTAAATCTAAAACCCACTGTAATCCAGGTGCATGAGAGCTGGCTGTTCATCATTTCATCATTGGTGATTCATTCAATAATATTTAGGAATATTTTCTACTAAATTGAGTTTCTGCTTGTGTTGAGAATGGGGCGTTCAGAGAGCGGTGATGAAACTGTGTCTTTTCCCTGCTGCCCAAGTAAAGATCAAAAATTCAGATTTTATTGTTGCATTGTTTTTTACATTATTGTACATAAATCTTGCTGGTCCAGAAAAAAAACAAATAGCCCACATCGAACAACATAAAATCTATTGCTCAAATGCCTGTATGCAGTGGCACGCTGCTAATAACGATAAAGAAGTCCTGAAAAAATTGGAGGCTGAAAACTCCGATCTACTGAGAGAATTGGAAAATAGGAAAAAACAGTACGAGGCTAGCAGGAGAACTTCAGCTGCCTTTGAGGACGATGTTTTCGATATGGAGCCTCACTACAAGACTGAGCTTGAAGCGCATAAGGCTGTGTGGCGAGCTCCAAAATAGATTACGTCAATACACACAGGGTCCCACTGTCATCGTTGAGCAGGACGGGAGAGGACTGAGGGGAGCCGGCACTCAGACAATAATTATCATACAAAGACAGTGGCGCACCCAGAAAATATGTTTGGGGGGGCCCTACATAGGTTGTGGCTTATGACTAAAAATCTAAAAAAAAAAAATGAGGTGTCAGGGTGCTACGCCTTGATGTTGCTACATTTTTATACGTAAAAATACAGTTTTGGTGGAGTGGCCCTGGCCCGATGGCCCCCCCCCCTGGGTGTGCCACTGTACAAAGAACATAAAGAAACTATTTCTGTTAGGACTCAAACCATGGGCAGCCGCTACTGTAAGGACGCTGCTACAATGACTAAAATAGATGCATGACAACCTGCTTAATGGAGCGCTACTGTTGCACAATATGCTGAGAATCCAGATCCCAAAATTCACTCAAACTGATGTGGCAATAACTACAACGGATGAAATGCATCAGTGTTTTCTAGCGTCCTACAGTCAGCTGCTAGTCATTCATTTGACCAACTATCTTCAGCTGAGAAGCAAAGCTCCCTGAGCGGCGAACCTCCTTCAACTAACGCTGACGCTGCAAAGGGTCGAATTTGTAGCGGTTCGGGAATGGACTTGCTTGAAAGGCTAGAGAAATTAAGTGGACGATTTTTGGACAGCAAAATCCGGCAAAAAAAACAGATCTGGAAATGCCAAAGGAAATTAAGGAAGCCAATATTCCCATCTCTCCACCGTCAGTTCCACCCTTATGGACCTCAAACAGAGAACAGGTACCCTCTGATCAACGGAACATTTTGTGTGTGATGAATACGGTCGACACCTATATGACTATTTACATCTACAACCCACACTGGCAATATACAAAATCAGCATGACAATAAAGCCAGGAGGCCACTTCCACAGCACCCTTGATAATTCAAAAAGCCATGCTCAAGGTTATGGAGAAGAAGATTTCATCATCATCAGTGGTGGTTATAACGACCTGTTGAATAACAAACACCCCTAGATCAAATTGATTTATGATTTCTGCAGAAACAGAACTATTAAAGGGTGGTGCGACGCAAACCGCCTGTCTTAACATCTCCGAAACTAATATATTAGGCTTTAAATGTAACATTCTAGAGGTAAATCTGGGAGATCGGGTTCTGCAGAGTCAAATCATAGCAAAATTTTTGGGTGTTCAAATAGATAGCCAGTTGAAGTTTGAGGAACACATTTTTGGATTGGGTGAAAGGCTCATCTGGGTGTTTCGCCATCAGGTGTATAAGGACTCTGAGTTGGGAGCGGATGTGGCAAGGACTGCATACGTTTCTCTATTTGAGTCTCACTTGAGTTATGGCATCTTTTTCGAGGCCAGTCAACATTTGCTCAAAGATCTTTTCATTCTTCAAAAAAAGGCAGTTCGATTTATTGTTAATATCAATCAAAGAGAGTCTTGCAAACCACACTTCATAAAACAGAAAATTTTGACATTAACATCATTGTTTATTCTTGAGACGTCTAGTTTGGTTTTTAAAAATTGTAAAAATGTACGTGCTGTAAGATCTCAACAAGTAACCAGGCACAACTTTGACTTGCCTCTGCCTATACCTAAGAGCACCTTGATACAAAAGTATTGTAACCTACCTCTCTCAAACATCCTAGCCATAAGAGTAGTCACTTGACAGGCCATATGACAGACAAAAGATAATAAAATGTAATGCAAGGAGCAATTAAGGGAAGAGAAAACGTCAAGTCCTATTTGTTTGTCACAATGGAACCGTGACCTATCTATATGTAATAATATCGAAAATGAAAATTCCAAAATATTCTTTCGTTTTCTTTACAGTAAAATTTTTGAAACCCATTTTTCATTCTTGCCGTTCAAGGAAGGGGTGGTTGAAAAAAATTGCCAAGGCCGGTTTGTCTAAGCCCATCCAACCCTGTTCGTACTGTTTTCTGAAATTGACTATACTATGTACCTTTTAGTCTTTTGTAGTATTAATAGTAAACTTATTAGAGATATTTTATATATGTTAAGTTATAATGTTAATGTTAGCTTTAGCCTGCTTTGTCGACAGAATTCTATTCTTGACAATAAAGTATACATTATTGATTGATTGATTGAATGGAGCTGGTGCTTACAAACTTGGATCAATTACTCCTTGCATGCTGTTAAACCTCCAGAAAGTAATGGTGCATATGTGTGTAAATGTGCTTGCAATACATTTATCAAATTCTCGTTCCAACAAGATTTTTTCCTGTATTCAATTGCCCCTCTTTTGCATGGAAAATATCTAAGTAGGTACATAGTGTAGGTATAATTGTTAGTAAATTGTTTTTCTCAAATAAATATTTCAAAGAAATCCTAATGGGTTTTCTAATAGCTTAACTCTATTGTTTTGAAGTAAATTATTATCATAGAGGTCTTTTTTATATCTAAACAATATGTTTTCCTTTGTAAAACAGAAGTGATCTATATAGATACAATAGACAAATATGCAATTTTTCAGAAGATTCCCATTAAATTTGCAACAAAAGTAGGTAAATTTTTATTTTGTGAGCTCAACTTTTCAATTTTCATCTCAATCTTAAGAGAATAGTTTCCTTCAAACGCAACTATTGAATCTCCATGAAGTAGGTAGCCCTATTTCCAAAAACACGTCATTATTTAATGAGAACATAACCGGCTTTTCAATAGACGCAATTAAATATTGTCAATTACCTACCATTAGGTCAAGGTCTTTTATTATGCTTAAACATTAAGTTTCCTTTTTAGGAAAGCGACAGAATACACGAATATGCAATTTTTCAGAAGAATTCCATTGAACTTTCAACAAAAGTAAGTATTATTTGAGCTCAACTGTTTAATTTTTACCTCAGTTTTAGGAGGACGTTTTCTTCAAGAACAACTCCAGCCCAATTTGGAGAGCTAATAGATGATTGGTGGAATCCTCACGGTCCGGCGAAGGGCCTACATGCAATGAACAATTTAAGAGTGCCTTTAGTAAGAAATGGGTTGATTAAGCAAGGAGCTGTATCAAAAGAGAATATTAATAGCTTCACACCGCTTAGAGGGTTGTTTATTTTAGATGTTGGATGTGGCGGTAAGACAATAATTTCCTAAAGAAGCCTTTATTAGAATTAAACTTTTCTCAGGTGGTATTCTGTCAGAAGCTCTAGCACTTCTAGGAGCGAAAGTTACAGGCATTGATATGGATCCCAAAGTCATAGAGCTAGCAAAATTTCATGCCCAACAAAATAATCTCTCCATTGATTATCGTTTAAGCTCTATTGAGGAACATGCTATGAAAAATGTGGAAAAGTTTGATGCTGTAGTTGCTTCTGAGGTTATTGGTGAGATACCTGGAACTGAAAAAAAATTATATTACTCAGATTTTTTAGAGCACGTGAAGGATAAAGTGCAATTTATAGATGCTTGTGAAAAATCTCTAAAACCGTCTGGCTCCATATTTCTGACTACATTGAGCAAAACTATATTTACAGAAATGATTGCAATTCATTTGTTCGAAAATGTTTTCAATTTTCTTCCCAAAGGCACCCATCAGATCGAGGATTGCATTGAACCCGAACAATTACAAAAATTATTAGAAAATAGTAATTCCGTGCTTTATTAATTTACAGTTCTACTTATCATTTTTCTTTACAGATTGTTTGCAAACTAAGGAAATAAGAGGCATGTTTTATAATCTTTTTACAAATGAATGGAGCTGGTGTCTTCCAACTTGCATATTTTATTCTTTGCACGCTGTTAAATCTAAAGGTATAGGTAATGCTTTGTAGGAATTTTGTCCTTAATTGAAGATATATTTTACTCACAATAAAACTTATTAAACTTTTCATATTGTTGGGAAATTGTTTTTTTCAAATAAATATGGTCACAGAGCCTCTCTGTGATGGCGGGTGTAGGGGAGATAGATGGAGAGAAACTCGCTCAGTTTTATATAAAAAGGTTTATATTTGCTATGAAGTCATTACGTCATGAATCCTCCCCAAGGTGTCTATTCTCGAAACCGGGGAACAGCGTTCTCACGAGAACGATTGCTCTGACTTTGTCAGTGTTATTGAAAATAAATATAGGCGACAGAGACAGAACCTTCATTCTCATGGGAACGATGTTCCCCGGTTTCAAGAATAGACACAGGATGCATGCTCTTCCGTGGAAAGAGTCACACGTTTGACGCTACTAAGAAGGAATGCCTGTTTAATGCTAATGTTACGTTGAATGCTAATCGTCGGTTAACTGATCCTCATCTTGAGGGGCTTTCTCAGGGTGGCGGTACTTGCACTGGGGAGAATTGATTTCAGAGGGGTGTGGCGGTACTAACACTGGTTTAAGTCTATCTCTGCTTGTTGTGTTCGAGTGGTTAATGAAACACTCCCGCTAATTATAACATTTATTTATACTGTATGAAAATACTTGGTCAATATAAACTAGTATTTTAGCTTTCGAGTCGTGATGTAACAAGTAAAACAAACAGAGCGTTACGGTGGCTAGGGCAATCAGGTACAGACTGACTTGACGTAGGTTTTCCTTCGTTTTCGTCTCCGCTGGGCATCGGTTTCACAAGGTTGCGCGTGCGCTCAGTTCTGACGCTACACACCCTCACCCTTAGTTGGAAAAGTATCTGTGAGGGAGACAATTCAATGTCACAATTATAAATATCAAAAAATACCCCTCTGTGAATAAACCATAACAAAGCCATACTCTATATAGTCTTCGTTACCTAATCGAACAATAAACAATTTTACATTAGTCTGTTCAGGTTCAAACCTGCAAAAGGAACAATGCAAAATTATATACAACAATGAATATCAATTAATCCATCTCCATGATGTATTCTTTAAACTTCTTAGGTTTGCTCACAATTCATTTTTCCTTTTGCCTATCTGGACCCTTAACTTCATTTCGATTGCTCCCTGTTTTCCTACTATCACTTTGACGCTTAACACCAATTTGGGGCACAGCTCCTATTAATTTGTCAGTTTTGGCTGCGACACCAGAGGCAGGTGAAATCAATTTAGTTTGCAAGCTAGAAACAGAAAGATTAGGATTATCTACATCTACTACAGGTTTATGAATAGGTATCTATTATTTTTGAAATATATTGTTTAGTGGACTTATCAAATACATCCATATAAATATCCTCGCTCGAATCACTAGATGCACTTGAAGCTTCGGGCTCTCTTACGTTTCTAGATTGGTCAATTCTGTCTTGATCTTTTTTTGCTGCTGGGTCTCTTCGACTTCTATATTTTCCTGTCCTGTCTCGTCTGTCTCTTCCAGGCTACTATAATACCTTGATGGTACAAAAGGTTCTTTACTTTCACTTCTGCTGTCCTGGTCTTTTCCTGTTCATGATTCTTCTGGTCCATTTTATGCATTTGGTTTGCATGTCTTTTCCACTTATTTCCTTCTTTGATCTTGCAAATGTAAGTTGATCTTCCTAGTCTCTTCATCACACATGCTTGAATCCATTTTCTTTTGTTTGGCACTCTATAATCAGCTACCATCACCTCCTCCCCTGTCTCAAAATCTCTGGCTTTATCTCCATAATCTTTTTGCTGCTTTTCTCTGTCTCTGGATGGTTTCTGTGCCCTCACTCTGTTGTTTCTGTTGTTTTTCCTCGACTTTCTCTATCCCTTCTCTTAACACATCCATTCTAGTTCTTATTTCTCTATTCAGCATCAACTTAGAAGGCGTCTCGCCTGTGCTAGAGTGTTTGGCAGTTCTGAAAAAAAGCAAAAATTCTGAAACCATCATTGAAATACTTTTACCCTTATTCTTCGGATCTGAAAGTCGTGCCTTCAAATTATTTTTAAATGTTTTAACAGCATTTTCTGCGAGCCCATTTGATTGATGGTTGTAAGGTGGTGATGTAATGTGTTTTATAGCATTTCTGTTGAAAAATGTCTGCACATTTTCTGCAGTGAACTGAGTTCCATTGTCTGTTACCACTGTATTCGGCAAACCCCATCGTGAGCAGAGGATTTTGATTTTCTCTTCTGTCTCCATTGATGTCATATTGATCTCATCACCAAAGCTTCTACCCACTTTGAGTATGCATCCACAGCTATCAGAAACATTTTACCTTCCAATGGCCCACAAAAATCCAAGTGAACTCTCTTCCAGGGCTCCTTCTCGAGCCTCCAAGGTGTCAATTCTGTTCTGGGAGGTGCTTGTTTATTCTGTAGACAATATATACAGCTTTTACAGGTTTCTTTAATTTCTTTGTCCAGATTTGGCCAGTGAACATATGACCTTGCTAGATTTTTTGTTTTAACTATGCCAAAATGACTTGAGTGGAGTTCTGCTAAAAATTTTTTACGTAGTGGTCAATGGTAGAACTATCCTATATCCCCACATGAGGATATCTTTTTCAATAGTTAGCTCATTTTTTCTACGGTAACATGGTAATAAAGATTCTTTTACCTGTGAAGGCTATTTTTCTGCCTGTATATATTTTTTCTTAATTTCTTCATTATTTACAGGCCTCTCGTCTGTTGTCTCTGCTGGTATTGGCCTTTAGAAATTTCCTCTCTAGAACTGGAAAAATGTTTTAAAGGAAACCTTGATAAGTAATTTTTTAATAGCTTTAACACTAATTATTGTTTTGAAGTAAATTATTATCATAGGGCAAAGTTTTTTTTATGTTTAAATAGCAATGTTTTCCTTAGTAAAATAAAATAGTGATCTTTGACAGATAGACAAATATGCAATTTTTCAGAAGATTCCCATTAAACTTGCAACAAAAGTAAGTAAATTTATAGTTTTAGATGTCAACTTTTCCAGTTTTACCTCCAGTTTTAGGAGGATGCTTTCTTCAAAAACTACTATTGAATCTCATGAAGTAGCCTTGTTTGAAGAACTAATAGCTGATTGGTGGAATCCTAAAGGCCGTGTTAAGTTCTTGCATAGCATGAATACATTAAGAGTGCCTTTAGTAAGCAATGGGTTGTACAATCAAGGAATTATATCTGAAGAGAATATTCATAGCTCGAAACCGCTTAAAGGGGTGTCTATATTAGATGTTGGGTGTGGCAGTAAGAAAATCAATTTTTAAAGAAGTCTTTATTTGAATTCACCTTTTCCTAGGTGGTATTCTGTCAGAAGCTCTAGCACTTCTAGGAGCCAAAGTTACAGGCATTGATACAAATCCTATATACCTAGAGCTGGCAAAACATCACGCCATAAAAAATAATCTTTCCATTGATTATCTTTTTACCTCTATTGAGGAGCATGCCATAGAAAACTTAGAGAGGTTTGATGCTGTAGTTGCTTCTGAGGTTATTGGTAAGATATTTGAATTTGAAAAAATGCACATTTTACTCAGATTAGGTACCTTTTTATAGAGCATGTGACAGATAAAGTACAATTTATAGATGCTTGTGCAAAATCTCTAAAACCTGCTGGCTCCATGTTTCTGACTACATTGAACAAAACTATATTTACAGAAATTTTTGCAATTTATTCTGCTGAAAATATTTTCAATTTGATTCCCAAAGGCACTCATCAGATTGAGGAATGTATTGAACCTGAGCAATTGCAAAAATTATTAGAAAATAGTAATTTTGTGCTTTATTCATTTACAATTGAACTTATAGTTTTTCTTTGCAGATTATTTGCAAACTAAAGAAATAAGAGGCATGTTTTATAATCTTTTTTCAAATGAATGGAGCTGGTGCCTTCCAACTTGGATGTTTTATGCCTTGCATGCTGTTAAACCTAAAAGAAGTATAGGTAGTCCTTCGTCCTAAAGCTTATGTGTATTTTACATAATAAACTTATTCGAACATTGTTGAAAATCGATGAGAGAATTTGAATAGGAAAAGGAAAAATAACGAACTTTTAGCCATCTATACCCAGCTGTTAAGTATTTCCAAGAGCAGAAATCGATATCTACCAGTCCCCTATCCTAATTCTCGTGAAATAATCATTACTTTTGATATAGGGTGAGAGATGGCTCTACCAGTGAATATTTTGAAAAAGCTATAGTAATTTTTTTTACCTATTCGAAATAATTATCAATTAGCCATTTGAACGACAAATAAGTTTTTCTATTCAAAAATTTCAACTATTGTCAAAAAAAATTGGAAATTGTTGGATTATATATTGTATACCTTTACATAAAGTCGTAGAAGAAAATTTCTTATTAGCCTTTATGGCACTATATTTCTTCAAAGTAGTTACCATAAACCATTATAAAATAAATTTCCTCGAAGGCACTTTCCTAGAAAGTTTTCCAACAAAGATTCAACCATATAGCTACGCTCAAGTCCATATAGGCAAAAGGACAGTTAAACAGTTAAGTATGAATTCCAAAGTCATTTTTGTTGCTTGTTGTAAAATATGGGCGGCATAATCCACGCCAGAGATATGGCTGCATATTTATAAGGTCGCCACTTTGTCATCCCCCGTGAAGTTTAGATTGGATTTTGTAAAATATGCCGCGCTCGCTTATACTGGTAGCGGACCCGAAATTTATGAGCTCTACGTACACAAAACCCGGGCCTTCTACCACCGTGAAATTTACTGATTTAAATCCAAGTTTTGTGTTTGTATTTTTCTGGAAAAAAAAATATAGTCATTTTAACAAGTTTATCTCGTCAGTGGAAAAACTTTCACATTATTCAATTTCCTGCATAATATAGGTACAGTGGGAATCATTGCAATTGGCACACACTATATAAATATCCCTCGTAATGTGTCAAATCTGATACACAGTAATAGCAAAATGCTGCACTAAATAGATTTATTGGTTAGAATTTTGACTTAATACGAGGGATTTTAAAGAGTGTGTGCCAATTGCAATGATTCCCACTGTACCTAGTTCTTAGAAATATTATAGGACATAATGGGGGGATAAATCAAGTATTAGCATAAAGCAGTCACTCAGAAAAATTAAAAAATTGATAAATCACCCCAAATTGCTTAACACGATTTTATCTCAGGAACTATGAGTCCAAATGAGCTGAAATTTTCAGGGATTGTAGTCCTCTACTGGGATAAGAATCAGCTTTCTATCTATAATAGAAAAAAAGTTATATCCATTCTTAGTTTTCCAAAATCTAAATCATAAGGTAGGTAGCTACTACCTTCTTACTAAAACGATGAAATTTCAAATTTTTTTGTTGTCGAGATATTGTGTCCTAATGGCCATTTGGGATTTCCCAAACTCCATGCACTAAATTTTTTCTCAGATTTGGAGCCAGATTCTATGAAAAAAGACATTTGAGCATTAGAGACTTTGGTAAATAGGTACTGAAACTTACTAAGAATTTATATTTTGATTATTACCAGCTCTTGATTTTCTGTAATATTTTTCTAGAGGAATTATGAATAACTGGTAATAATGAAATGGAATCAGAGCATAGTCCAGCTTTTGCTGGTTACTAAGACTTATAAGAGATACATAGCTAACATCCTAAGAGGTGGGCCCTTCACCACCCAGGAACCTGCCCTCCTTTGGGAGAAACCTAGAAGCAGAGTCACGCGCAAAATATCTGGAAAGGTAGCAGTGCTTGAGCGGCTGTAACAAGCTGTAACGACTCCAAAAGTAATCCACAATCCGCACAATCTGATGTTTCAAAGTGAACACGAATTCTCTCAACTTAGCAGAAAAAATCCTATCCCAAACAAAATTCATCGAACTCGCTCCTGTCTAGTTTGACAATAGTGTCAATAAAACTTCAAACTATTTTTTTTTTTTTGAAAAATGTTTTTCCTTTTATTCATTCTAATTCTCATCTCTCACGCCATTGCAATCACAAAATACGAAGAATCCTATCTAGAAGTCCCAATCGATCATTTCAGCTTGAGCAAAACCAACGACACCTTCAAATTACGCTATTTGCTTGTGGAGCAGTTTCACATAAAAGGCGGACCGATATTTCTGTATTGCGGCAACGAAGCTGACATTAAAGTTTTCTACGATAACTCTGGATTTCTTTTGGATATAGCGCCGACCTTCAATGCTTTGGTGGTATTTGTTGAGCACAGATACTATGGACAATCGATGCCCTTTGGACCGAAATCCTTGAATTCAGCTGAAGGTTTGAGATATTTAACTGTGGAGCAAGCTTTAGCAGATTTTGCTTGCGTTATTGACAGCCTTATTAAAAAATACTTTAGCACTATGATAACAAATATTAGTTATCCAATTGTAGCTTTTGGAGGTTCTTATGGAGGAATGCTAGCTGCTTGGTTACGGATTAAGTATCCACATTTAATTCTAGGGGCTGTAGCCTCATCAGCTCCATTATTGCAATTAAATAATTTGAAACTGTGTGAAAACTTTTATCATATAGTAACACAATCATATAGGAATGAAAATTGTAGTCAGGCTATCAAGGCTTCTTGGGAAGCTATAAGAAATATAACTAAAACGCATGAAGGCAAAAAAAATGTTGGACACATATTTAAGCTATGCAAAACATTAGGCAACGAAGATGATGTTGGAAAATTTATCGATAGCTTAGAAGAAATTTATGTTAATTTAGCAATGCTCAACTACCCATATGCAACAAGCTTTTTAGCTCCATTACCAGGAAATCCTGTGAAAAGCTTCTGCGATAAACTGAAAAGTTACGGAACAATACAAACTCCTTTAGCTTTACTGCAAGCTATATCAAGCGCATTGGAAATAGCCACAAATTATTCTGGAACAACCAAATGTAATAACATTGAAATCACTAACAACGAGCCTACGGATTTTGCTTGGGGATTTCAAGCTTGCTTCGAGCTTATAATCCCAATGTGCTCCACCAAAGAAGACATATTTGAACCAATAAGTTGGGACTATGAGAAATTCACCAAAGAGTGCATCAAGAAATACGGAGTGGTGCCGTATTCACCAAACAAGTTATTTTTGGAATTTGGTGGTGCTACAATGTTGAAATACTCGTCAAATATTGTGTTTAGTAACGGCCTGCTCGATCCATGGTCTAGTGGAGGCGTTTTGGCCAACATTTCGGACAGTGTGGTTGCTGTCTTGATACCCGAAGCTGCTCATCACTACGATTTGCGCGGTGCCAACCCTGTAGATTCGAAATATGTGCTAGATGCTAGGAAGTTTCATGTAGCACAAATTAGAAAGTGGCTAAATATAAGTTAGATATAGGACTTGATATAGATCTAAGGAGTTTTATTGGTGATTTTGTGAAGGCATGTCTGAAAGAATCTTTATTTTTGTTCAAGAAGACCTGAAGGTCTTTGAGTTACGAAGGTTGTTTGATTTTGTTGAATTTCGTGGGAGGTAAGTTCTAACTTTATTAGTTTCACCCCCTTGACCCTCCCCCAAAGTTATTTGTAAGTCTTTTTAGGTGCCCTAAACGGTTTATATTGGTACTGGCCTATAACTTCCTGTTGGGAAATGGACTAAGAAATTAAAGAACTTGTTAATTATCGATATTCAATATATTTATTATATCGAACACAGCGTGGAAACCATAGTGTGTGAACTCATAGAAATAACTATACGAACTGACAACATCAAGACAAAGAATTACAAACCCTTTCTTAAAGTAAACGATTGCTCATCTGTTTACCTTACATATAAAAACTATTATAAACACATTCAGTCATCCATAGCTGCGATATAAATTAGCAAAGTATAGGCTAATAATCAAAGTTTAATTTATTAATTTTTGTTTTACTGATATGAATATCAGTTTATCCAACACTTCCAGTACCATTTGTACCCGAGACTAGGGTGGAAACGTCCATATTTTCACAAAAATCTCTTTTTAGATGAATCGCAATTATTACCTAATTTTAAACCATCTTCAAAGTAATTTGCAAGTCAAATGAGGTTCCCTAAACGGTTGTATATTGGTACTGCCTAAAACTTTCAGTACCATTTGTGGCAGAGACTAGGGTAAAAATGTCCATATTTTCACAAAAACCCTTTTTTCGATGAATCGTAATTACTAGTTTCACCCCCTTGAACCACCCTCGAAGGTACTTGTGAGTTTGTGAACCTTTACAAAACGTTTTTCCTAGTTGAAGAAAGACAAAGGAAGTGCATTCTGATACCGCCACCTGCTTATTCCAATAATTATTCCAGAACTAGAATCTGGTTTATTACCAAAGATAGATATTTGAATATTCGGGGTGACCAGCAATTCTCCGCCGCACCCAAAGTGATTAAGTCAAGAGTGTTTGGGCTGGCGTGACCCTGCAATCGTATGGCCGATTCATTTTTTAATTACGACACTAAATCATGCCGAATTGGGGGTGCATTATTAGGAAATGTTATGTTGTGACGTAACCAGAGAATTTTTACGATTCCCTTTATTACATTTAGGAATTTTGTCTATTTAATTCCTTAGGTAATTTTATTTCTCTCCCAAGTAAATAAATACCTACGTTGTATCACATTTCATTGGAAAGATATAGCCCGGCTCATCGGCCATAATCCCGAAAGTCAAGCGGTTTTATGGACGCAAATACGACGTCTTCCTGCCCACTTCTTTCCTCTTTCGTCCCCGGGTATATGATTGAATATTCGCGGTGGTCGAACATAAAACTTAAACGCGGCGTGTCTCCTGTCCCGTGGGACACTAGCGTTCGTCCCGTTTACGGCCAAGGGATACACGATCGCTCTTTTCAATAACTCTAAAAGGAGTCAGGGTTGACTCCATGACTCCTTTCTATAGGCTTACATCACACGTTCCTACGTCTGAATTAGACAAATTTTACCAGTGACGTAGGTACCTACATATCAGGAATCAGAAATTTTTCAAGGCTCTAGGTAAACCTACATGAAGCTCTATTTTTTAGAGTTTATTGCACGCTGATGTGAGGTAAGCTAGTTATGTTTCCTTTACAATCAATACGAAAGAGAATGAAAAGGGTTGCTGTAGTTCAGATTTACCTTGTAAGATTTTCAGGTAGGTAGCTTCTACAAGAACTTCATGTAGTGTAGCTATATCAACAACTATATCCAAAGAAAGACACTAATTCCAATCATCCCAAGGGGACACATTAACAATTTTTGTTTCAATATTAATTGACGAGTCGACTCTGCACAATTCCATCAAGGAAAAAAAAAACCGGTCCAATGATTGAAGACATCAAAAAACATATATTCTCCCTAACTGATATCCTTCCTTGATTCATATTTTTACGATTTTTCCTTTGCACTTTGGTGTGTCATATTTCAGGCGGGGTATAAATTTAAAATGCCCAAGAATCCTCCAATGATTTAGACCACTTTAGTTTATAGTCCTGTAGAAATTTACGTGCCCATCGATTATTCATTTGCTTTTTTCGACTCGAAAGACTCGTCTAATATTCATTTGGCTGATTTCTTATTCAACAGCTTCTTGACATAGTTAAATGATGTTTAGTTTATTTTTTTTTTGCACTATTTTTACTCACGTGACCAACCCTAATATCACAAATGTGCACTTTGATTTGACTTTTCGTGCCCGATTATTAAAATTTGAATCAACAGGGAGTTTTTTTGGGCGAGGCCAAACAATCTGACTATAAAATCGAGATGTTAGTTCAAGGTTGTCACCGCTTTAATTATGCAAATAAGGCAATCGGAATATAAAATCGATATGTTTATGTTAGTTCAAGGTTGTTACCGCTTTTGCATACATTGAGTGCCGACTCATAGATAGGCAATTACTTATACATAATAGAAGTCGGGTAAGTGTTTGGAAGAAGTCCGGAGAGGTCAGGAAAGGGCTGGATAAGGTCGGGAGAAATCTAGACAAGTCTGGATAAAGTCTGGATAAGGCTGGAAAAAGTTTAGCTAAGTCTGGAAAAGTTTGGATAAGTTTGGATAAAGTCTGGAAAAGCCAGAAAATTTCTGGAAACGTCTGGAAAAGGCTCTATTAGGTCTGGAGAAATCTAGACAAGTCTGGATAAAGTCTGGAAAAATCTACCCAAGTCTGGATAAAGTCTGGAAATTTCTGGAAACGTCGGAAAAAGGCTGGATAAGGTCTGGAGAAATTCAGACAAGTCTGGATAAGTTCTGGAAAAGTGTATTTGAAGTCGGGAAAGTGTTTGGGAGAAGTCCGGAGAGGTCAAAGGGCTGGATAAGGTCTGGAGAAATCTAGATAAGTCTGGATAAAGTCTGGATAAAGTCTTGCTAAGTCTGGAAAAGTCTGGATAAGTTTGGATAAAGTCTGGGAAAGAGCCAGAAAATTTCTAGAAACGTCTGGAAAAGGCTCTATTAGGTCTGAAGAAATCTAGACAAGTCTGGATAAAGTCTGGAAAAATCTAGCTAAGCCTAGAAAAATCTGGATACAGTCTGGAAAAGCCTGGAAATTTCTGGAAACGTCTGGAAAAGGCTTAATAAGGTCTAGAGACATTCAGACAAGTTTGGATAAAGTCTAGAAAAGAGCCAGAAAATTTCTGGAAACGTCTGGAAAAGGCTCTATTAGGTCTGGAGAAATCTAGACAAGTCTGGATAAAGTCTAGCTAAATCTGGAAAAGTCTGGATAAGTTTGGATACAGTCTGGAAAAGCCAGAAAATTTCTGGAAACGTCTGGAAAAGGCTCTATTAGGTCTGGAGAAATCTAGACAAGTCTGGATAAAGTCTGGAAAAATCCAGCCAAGTCTAGAAAAGTCTGGATAAAGTCTGGGAAAGTCTGGAAATGTCTGGAAACCTCTGGAAAAGGCTTGATAAGGTCTGGAGAAATTTTGACAAGTCTGCATAAAGTCTAGCTAAGTCTGGAAAAATCTGGATAAAGTCTGGAAATTTCTGGAAACGTCTGGAAAACGCATGGAAATTTCTGGATTGGGTCGGAAAAATTCTGGAAAATCTGGAAAGGGTTGAATTTTAGCGGATCTCAAAGCTCACAATAATCACAAGCATTAGCGTTGAAGTTTGCTTCGGCATTTTCAATGTTCTCCTCGGTTGCATCTTTGTGAAGGACTGTGAATTTGTTACTTATGTGACAATTCTCTGACAATATGCCTATTAGCTGTGCTATTAGATATTGCTCTGTAGATGTTTGTTTTTCAAAGCAAGGAGGTGGTTTAATATTTTTTCTAGGTCCAATAGAAGAATCTAGGTATGTATAGGGTTTTCCAATAGTAACGCTCGATGTTTGACAATAGCCCATGAAAAACTCGATAGTCACACAGGTGCTATCTTTGGCAGCCGTATTCAATTAGTCTCTGCATTTTATTATGGAGCGCTACACGATTGAGCAACGCGTCGGAATTGTTAAAAATTATTATCATTATCAAAACCAATGTTCTATTCGGAAAACGTTTCGTGCACTCCGTGCAATTTATGATGTCAACGATCGTCCTTCAGAATCCACAATTGGCCGACCTAACGTCACTGGATTTTTTTCTCTGGGCATTCTAAAATCCAAAGTCTATGTTGACAAATCTCGAACGGTTGCCGCCTTAAAGGCCAATATTAAGCACTTATTGCTGAAATTGAGCCATTTTTATGCGATAACGAACACTAAATGATTCTAACGACAATCTAAAATTGTCGGAGAAATGTATTGATAATTCGGATATTGTTGAAAACATCTATGAGAAGTAAAGTCCGTCGATTTTAATCTAATACTCGAAAGGAATGTGAGCTGGTGGCACCCTACATTTGAACGCCAATGGTCACCTAAGGTCACCCCTGGTTTTCGCTTCACCCCCTCGCTCCTCATACGAAAAGTCGACGAACAATACTAAAAGAAGGAAGATTCAGGGACTTGACCAAATCTGCAATACTTTCTGCAAGAAATGTTGATGTCGAAGAAATAAACGAATAAGTTGTCGAACTGTTGGACGTCAAGACCGAAAAACTCTACACCAGTATAGATAGTGTCAAGAACTGTGATAATAGTGATCTAAATGATGCTATTCTTCCAAAATATTTAAATTCGCTTAATCCGCCGAATTCCCGCTCCATGATTTACGATTGAAAACGAATTCTATTGTATGCTTATTAGAAATCTAAGCATCAGTGCAGGCCTTTGCAATGGTACAAGGCCTTTAGTTCTGGAACTTGGGGATAATCTGTTACGCTGTGAGATATTGACTGTAGATAAACAGGGAGAAATAGTGTTCATAAATCGAATAACACTCTACTGCGAAAACGTCTACCCCTTTACGTTCAAACAAAGACAATTTTAAAATAAAATTAGCCTTT